AAACCCTAAACCGTAGGGTTTCGGGCCCGACACTATGGAGCTTCAGTATTGCAGGTATTGGTCGTTTGGTCCAAGCACACGGACGAAGGGGTGATTCGAGTCTTAGCATGAGGTTCTGCCCAAAAGCCCACTACCGCAAGCAAGGGTTTAGGGTTTAGGGAATAGTTAAGGGGTGCTGGGCTCCCCGGCTATGAGACTGCAACAAGGGGAGAGTATGAGATTGTGACTGAAGTGCTGGAATAGACCCATGCATACCACAAGCTCCTAAACCCCCAAACCCTGCAGCAAATCGCTGTCAGCCAAATTGTCAAACACTGTTACCCTGAGCCCCTGGACCCCTATGTAAACCTGACAATGAGTCGTAGAGATGCTGGAAAGTAATGTATGGGCGTTAATCATTACCAATAGTATTTTGGGGGGTCCTTATTTTAGGTATAGTATAATATACCCCCCAAACCCTATTCTAATTATTAAGGCCCCTACACTGCGAGGTTTCAGGGATTCACTATGGGAACTTTTGCCACCTTGGTCGCGAAGAGACCCACCATCGTCGACACCTCCTCGATCTTCGTTCTCGTCTCCTGAACTGTTTAGAGGTTACAGGGTTTAGGGCTTCGGGCATGCGGAGAGCCCAAGAGCATTAGTTCGCATACAGCCAAAGATCAAAACCCGTCATCGGGGAATTCGGCTTGTGGGTGGGGCCAACCAAGCTGCGAAGTATCAGCCCTCTCCGTGATGCATGCGCTCGATGTCAAACAAGCGAAGGCTCGGGGTTGAGGGCTTCTAGTTTATGTTTGGGGGCTTTAGGGTTTCGGGTCTGGGCTCATGGAAATTGGCCCGGCCTGAATCTTGTCCAGATCGGTGGTGAAGGTCGCAAGGAGCCGTTGCTCCTGAGGGGCAAACTTTTGCCCGAGACTCACAGAGCTGTCAGGGTGTAGTAAAGCCTTAGAACACCCGTCATCCTTGTCCCCCAACGTGTCATAGGCATTAACTCCAACTTCCTTCCAACAGGAACTAATGTAGGGGCCTGAATAATTACAAATACCATGTTGGAGGTTCCGTATTGACAGTCTAGCATAATATACCCCAAAACTCTATTTCTAACTTCTAAGGCCCTATATTAACTGAAAGGCTGCACACAAGACAAGCTGCTGTAAAAGCCTTCGAAGCCCGAAAGGCCGAGATCAGATAGGTAATTCGAAAAGCTGCTGTGCTAGTCTCACTTAAGGCACGGCTTTAGGGTTTAAGGTTTCGGGTTTAGGGTTCCCTAAACCCTAAACCCTTGAGGCCTTGTGCTCAAACCCTAAACCCTACGGTCTTGTCCTAGGGTCCCTGCAGCTGTGAAGAGCTGGCTACCAACCACAAGGCAATATCTGAAACTTTTGGGGGGTCTCTTTCTGAATAGGCTCTTGGACTAACCGAACTAATGTAGGGGCCTCAATAATTAGAGTAGCGTTTTGGGGCCCCTTATACTATTATTATAATAAGGAACTTCCAAAATAGTATTGCTAATTATTTCGGCCTTCTGAACCCCGAACAAACCCTAGACTCTTGGACTAACCGAACTATAGTGAAAGCCACAAAGTTGGAACATCATAATCCTCGTGCCCTTAAGGTACAGGATAAGGGATCCTAGCACAAATCATCCTAAACCCGGGTTCCCAGAGACTCCAAAACCCCTTAATTAAGGACTATAGAATATACCTTAAATCATATTAGGGATCCTATTATAATTTAAGGTATATTCCTTTTTTAAGGGATATTGGAGCCTCTGGGTTCCAACTTTCTGGGGTTTGCTGTAGCATCTTCTCGCTGCCGTCCTCGGCCTGAAGCGCAGCGCTGGCTGCCGGCCTCTCGTTTCAACCCGTACATCTCATCCAACTACTAAACCCTAAACCCTAAACCCTAAACCCTAAACCCTAAACCCTAAACCCTACTCAGACCCTGAAGCCCAGGGCTCCTTGCTTGGGGCTTTGGGAATAATGTCAGAGCCTCAACCATTACCTACACTATTTTGAGGGGTTCTTGATTATAATTGGAGTGCCTTATACCCCAAAACCCTATTCTGATTGGTAGGGCCCTTCTATTCGGGAATACAGGCCTAAACCCTAAACCCTAAACCCTGAAAGTTTAGGGTGTAGGGTTTTGGTCTAGGGGCTTCGCTGGAAGCTGTAGCCCGGCCCTCACTACCCAAACCCCCAAAAGGATCTAAAAAATAGATGCCCTAATTAGGGACCCTAACTACTATAAAGGGTACTTTATAGGAACCCCCTTAGGGGATCTATTTTTTTGATCCTTTTGGGGGTTTGCGTAGAACCCGGCCTCCCCGGCTCACTGGGCCCGTCGCCCACTTGGCCTAACCTGGGAGGCGACTCCGGGGTGGCAGGGCTTTGGGTTTAAGGTCTATAGGACTTAGAGTTTAGGGCTTAGGGCTTAAGGTTTAGGGCTTAGGGTTTAGGCTTTAGGCCTTGGGGTTCAGGGTTTAGGGCTCAGGGTTCAGGGTGTAGGGTTTAGGGCTTGGGGTTTAGGGTTTAGGGCTTATAGGGTTTAGGGTTTAGGGCCGGGGGGGTTGAAAACAAGAGGCCGCAACACTTAGACTAGGGCTCGTTGACATGGTTTCTTAAGAGGGTTCTGTACGTTCTACTAGACCAGAAAGCTTCTAGAATGTGGGGGCTTGAAGAATTCGACTAGGGTTTTGGGGGGTCCATTACAGTGTAGCAGCATAGCCAAGATAAGGGCACCATTACTAATTCTTCGGATCCCTATATGAGGGCTATTCCGGGCTCTGGATTAAGGGTTCATGAGAACTTACTACACAAGTGAAACATGTCCAAGTCCAAGGCATGTTCGAGAAGTTTTCTCAATGCAGCTGCAGCTAGTTACAAGCCGAAGTTTCCCTACA